CTATTTTAGTGTAATTTCCTTCTCACCAATGGAATACAGAGGGAATGTGATTGGTTTGCTACAATGTGAGTGGCACGGCGGGTACTAATCATGAAGTAGTGATAGAGCAGTAAGAGGCTTGCCACATTTTACCTGTGAGAAAGAGGTTGTTGGGTGGGGAATAATTTGTCACCCACAAAGACTTAGAGACACTTCTGAACTCTAGAAAGACTAGACAACTCTTTCCCAAATAACAACAGTACTTTATTTTCAGCCTAACCTGGTTATTTTAATGGTAGAGGATAACATGAGGAGTCAGGTACTTACTGGAGCTATACAGGGAATTAACCATTTTTACCTCCTCTTCTTACATGCCTCAACTTCAATCAGTAACCCTCTAGCTTGAGTAGCTCTTGAGCCTTGTATTAGGTGAACAATTAGTTCAAAAACAATGTTAACAATAATTCAAATAAATTCAGTTCTTTCTTTAAATTATGGAAGATTAAGCCAACTTCAGAAATATCAGTTATGTTCCATTAAGTACCACATAGTTTATGATTGAGTTTTCATTCAACAGCAAAAACAAATGTCAACTGAATGTTTTATGCAATTTTTGTAGCAAAAACTATATTGAGGAATATAAGTGGAAGAGAATTTGCTATTTTAGTATTGAAACAATTGTCAACAATTAATTTTCCAATCCATTTTGTTTAATTCCAATCAGGCTAACATTCAAAATACTTGTTTTGAAAAGCAAGTTAAATTAAGATGAAACAAAAAAGAAAGCTATTATTTTCAATGTTTAATCTAATAAAAATTCAATATTAATACTAATACTACTTGATGAAAAACAATAGAAATTAAATAAGTCAAAATTGACTAATGACTGTCAATGATTCATCTTATAAAAATTCAAGATATTACTACAAATACCAAGAGAGAAAAAACTTAAGCTGACAGAAATACTGTGGAGAAACTGTTGGTCAGACAGGAAAGGAGACAAGCTTGTTATTTTCTCCCCATGTACAATACGCCTGTTGCAGGCCCGGTAGGGTGCAGTGCTGGTTTATTACTAAGTGGCCTTGTGCCAGACACCACACTAAACTACCGAGTCTACAAGCAATGTAAAAAAAATAAATATGTGCGTGAATGAACAGTGAGAGGAAAGGGGTCAATCAACAAGTGCATAAAATAAAATATATTAAGATAGCCGACTCAGAATGACAGGAAAAGACTGGATTCAAACAAGATAATTTTTATTAAATGCAGGAAAAACAAGTAACTTCTCCCGTAGTAGGGATCAATGAATATGTTCCGCGCCAAAAATTAGAAAACAAGATGGCTAAAGGCGGGAAGAGTTCTTGAAGAAGAAAGGTTCCAGATAAGTCAATGTACATGATAATATACATACAAGGAAAAATACTCACTGCGAGTTTTTGGCTAATGTGAGTGGAATGTTATGTATATATTTTTTTTTTTTTTGTGTACTGGTTCAAAACAGATTTATGACAAGACCCAAAGTGGACGACGAATTAATATTTTGGATGTTTTGCATCGTCTCGGAGAAGGACTTTGAATGACGAGCCGAAGGGGACGACAATTAATATTTTGTATGTTTGCATTGTCTCGTAGGAGAATTTTTGAATGACGAGCCAAAAAGGACGTCTGAATTAATTATTTGGTGGTTTTAATGGTTACATGTTGAATACTAAGTTTCTGCCGACGACTGTGTCGTTCTCTAACGTCATCTGGTCGAAAACGGAGAAGGTCTGATCTGCGATTAGCAAGTTGTTCGTCAGTAGGATATCCCTGTCTGTATTTATTGGTTCGCTGACGAGGAATAAAAAATAAGCCATTATTAGTTGAATACGAAGTTTTGCTCACGACCGTGTCGTGTGTCTCTAACGTCTTCTGGTAGAAAACGGAGAAGGTCTGACCTGCGGGCAGCTTCAAGACGAGAAGAAGTCTTGGTAGAGTCAGAGTTCATCGAAGTTGTTCGTCAGTAGGATATCCCTGTCTGTATTTATTGGTTCGCTGACGAGGGATAAAAATAAGCCATCATTAGTTGAATACGAAGTTTTGCTCACGACCGTGTCGTGTCTCTAACGTCTTCTGGTAGAAAACGGAGAAGGTCTGACCTGCGGGCAGCTTCAAGACGAGAAAAAAGTCTTGGTAGAGTCAGAGTGTGAAGTCGAAGTTGTTCGTCAGTAGGATATCCCTGTCTGTATTTATTGGTTCGCTGACGAGGGATAAAAATAAGCCATCATTAGTTGAATACGAAGTTTTGCTCACGACCGTGTCGTGTGTCTCTAACGTCTTCTGGTAGAAAACGGAGAAGGTCTGACCTGCGGGCAGCTTCAAGACGAGAAGAAGTCTTGGTAGAGTCAGAGTGTGAAGTCGAAGTTGTTCGTCAGTAGGATATCCCTGTCTGTATTTATTGGTTCGCTGACGAGGGATAAAAATAAGCCATCATTAGTTGAATACGAAGTTTTGCTCACGACCGTGTCGTGTGTCTCTAACGTCTTCTGGTAGAAAACGGAGAAGGTCTGACCTGCGGGCAGCTTCAAGACGAGAAGAAGTCTTGGTAGAGTGTGAAGTCGCCATTGTCGAAATAAGATATTCCGGTCCGCGTATGGGTTAAGGGCACGGAATAAATGAGTTGCCCACCTAGTCAGGTCGAAAGCCGTGAGGCAACTGGCTTGCAAACGCTGGCCGTTTGAGACGCCGCGAAACGCGCGGGAAAAAATTCAAAATCTATCATGAGTTCATCAGCAGGAGCCAACGAGTTTACTGCTATATTTAGCTGTGAGTGAAAGGTAGGGATGAGAAAACGGCGCGCACACACGCACGAGTGTGAAACGAAGGAGGAAACTCGCGCGCGCGTAAAATATAAATGGAATTAATGTGTTAATTCCATACGCCTTCATCCATAAAATGCACCACTAAAATTGGGCTGAAAATGTGTGGAAAATGCTTCTACTCACGTAGAATACGCACCCTTTTTTTGGTAATCAAACCCTATAAATTGTATTTGTTCAATTTCATTTAGGTACCTCCAACAATTCGCTTAAAAAAAAAAAAAAAAAAAAAAAAAAAAAAAAAAAAAGTAAGCATAACAGGTCCGAAACTTAAAGTTTTATCATTAAAATGTTTGTTATTATTAAAGAGGAAGGAACAAAGTATTTAAATATTTTTTTTTAATTTCTTCCAACACGTTTTAAATTTGGGTCAAAAATCTTTTTTTGTTAAAACCGTAAGACTTGCGCTCATTGCCATTTTCAGGAGTTTCAGGGAAAACGCCATTAATTTTGAAATTGTTGCAAAAATGAAATAATTGTCTAATTTAAATAAAACTTTCAGGACTTATTCAAAAATGAATGAATTTATTTTTGAAATTTTTATTTTTAGAAAATCTTAGAAATATTTTTTATATGTTAGCCCATCCCCACCCCCTATAAATTAATTTTATGAAATTTTATAGAATTTCAACGAGTTTGCAAACTTTTCTTTTATTCTTATAAGCAGGACTCCTTGGAGAAATAAAATTTTTTTTTTTTTTTTTTACAACTAATGCCAACTTTTTAAAAATCTACTCCAAATCGTAAAATAAAATCAGCAATAAACTATCTAATTATCAAATTAGATAGGCTTTTATTTGCTTTTATAAATATTTTACATTAAGGACATTATCTGGGGAAAAATTATTAAAGTTATTTAATCAAAAATTAAATTGAGATAAAATTCTCATTTATCAATTTAAACAATAACTCAGTAAGATATTCTAATTATTAATAATAATTTTATTAGTTATCGCGGTTATTAAATTAAAAATGTAATAACTTATTAATAAAATTAGTTATCTTAGCTATTAAATAATGAAAGCTAGATAGAAGTAACTCAATAATGTCAGACATTTTATTATAAGAAACAAAAAAAAAAACCATTATGTCACTTTTGAAGAACCTTACTAAACCTGTCGACACAAAGTCGAATTTATCGATGGAGACCTGAAAATAAGACCCCGAGGTCAAGAAGTGTTTGTCTAGAAAATTTTATGCTATAAGTGATTTTTGTTTCAGAACAGATTATTAATTTAACTTTAAATTGGCTAATTTTGCGAAAGTAACGTTTCAGAAATTTTTAGCGGGAATTTACATTTCACTAAAAAAAGTTAAAATTTTTAACTTTTTTTTTAGTGAAATGTAAACTTTTTCAGCATTTTTTCGATACCTAAATTTAAAATTAATTTTTTAAAACGAAAAAACATTCTTGAAGATTTCATTTTAGCTTTAATTGAAAGTTTTAAATTTATTATTTCCATTAATTAAACAATTCTAGTGTATTTCAGATAGAAACTATATATATTGGTCTTTTATAGGATATTCTATTCTTCATGGAATAAAGAATATTTTAAGATTCTAGACTAGATTAGGCTTTTTGTGTTTTATAATTTACACTTTCAGCCCCTGATGAAGTAAAAAATAGTTTCAAAAGAAAAAAATATTTGAAGAAAGAACATAAAAGAATCTGAAGAAATTGAATTGACTCTTCAAAGATTAACAAGATTTGTTTATTGGAAAGAAAAAGTTGAAAGAAAAAAAAAGTGGGGAGATGTTTGAGTTGTCTGCTTACTGACAACATTTTGGAAGTAAAAATCCTTTTGTCATATGGAACAATATGCATGTGATTTTTGATTTGCTGAAATAAATATTTATTTGTGAACAGTATATGGTTTTTATCTAATAATTTTAAGATCGTCTGCTTCATTGAGTAGTTTTGTTGTTACTTTCTTATGAAGAAGCCGAGAACGAAATCGGCAGTTTAGTCCTGTATATTAATATATTTAATTATAATTTAAATACGGGTAAAATAAATTTAATTGAGAATTTAATTTTTCATTTACATTTAGGTTTTTAACATCACCCAACACCGACACACAAGACTAAGAATTTTTTCTTTAGTATGTTTGTGGTGAATAGTCATTTCGCAGCTGAAATCGGCCTATGAAACTGCAATATTTTAAAGATGTTTTTTTTAACTGCGCATAATACGCACTCCTAATTTTGCTTTTTTTTTTTTTTTTTTTTTTTTTAGAAAAAAATTATACACGGGGAAATTTTAATAAATTGATTTGTTTGGAAAAACCGTCTTTGACAAAAACCCTACCTTGTAGTTATATAATTTCTCTAATTTTAGAGACTTCATGGTAAACAGATTTTAACAGCGACGAATAAATTCATCGTTGTTAATTTACATATAACAAGAAGAATTAGATACTCAAATGTCTATAGAAGTGTAGTTAAAGTTTAAATTTAAAATAGTACAATTCAAATGGCAGTCTTACAAAGAGAAAAGTAAAAGTTGTTACCTTTGGTAGTTGAAATTAAATTTTTTTTTTTTTTCAGATCTCTTTTACTTGTTTTGATTTCTTCGTCTTCTCTTAGCAACTAAAAATCTCAGTTGAGGTTTTTGGGGGGGGGACAGCTTATGACGAGTGACAAAGATTCGCGCGGCAACTGAAAAAATGATAACGAGAGAGGAAAGTCATGTCATTTTATACACTATGGATGATCTTATTTTAGTCGACAGGGGATGACATTTTCACTAAGTCACTAAGAGCCAACATCGCTAGCTCGTTGACTGAATGCTGTAAGTTCAATCCTTGCGCTAGGCAGGGAATTTTATTGTTAATTTTTTACTTCAACATCCCATTCTATAATATTTCAAAATAAACAACATTTTCAGCAAGGCATCAATTTTCTAAATTTCCTTTTACCATTATGAGAAGTCCATTTGAATTTCAAACTCTAGACATTGATACATAGAAGTTACCATATTAAAAAAAAACTAAACTAAATGTTTGTTATTTACTCCGAATTGATATTTACTACGACAAATAATAATAATATATTTTAAATTTTATTGTTTTTCATCTGTTTAGATAATTCCCTTACATGAACCTTTTCAAAGAATCTAAATAAATACATTATTTTGATTTATTTAGATAATTCTTTTGAACTTTTTCAACCGCTTTTTTACTTAGGTAACGCCACGAAATCGCTAAAAATTTCTTATATATATATATATATATATATATATATATATATATATATATATATATATATATATATATATATATATGTCCATTTAAATATATATATATATATATATATATATATATATATGTCCATTTAAAAAATATATATATATATATATGCCATTTCTTAATATATATATATATATATATATATATATATATATATATGTCCATTTCTTAATATATATATATATATATCCATTTCATTTTAAATATATATATATATATATGTCCATTTCTATAATATATATATATATATATGTCCATTTCTTAAATATATATATATATGTCCATTTCTTAACAGACAGACATATATATATATATATATATATATATATATATAGAAAGAAATGGACAAAGTCCGACAAAGCCACAGAGTGTTTGTGCCCCAGTCAGCACGTCATCAGTCTTCTTTGTAACCGCCTTTTCAAACCTGCTAATAAATCAATAAATGACCCATCTAATCCTTACTATTCGATTAGAAATCATAACTTGAAACATACTCTCACTTTGTAACGTTCTGACTAATCACTAACAAACTCTAAACAGGCCATGTTCAAAATAAAGAAGTGTAATAACCAGTTAACCGTATAAACTCTCTATTAATCACCATAGAGATCCTTCTATACTCCCCACCCATTAGAATGTCTGACGCTCAACTTCTCGAGAGCGCCTCTCTGCGGCTGCTCGGTCTCACATTGTCTACTGACTCGAGATGGAACAAATACATTGAGTCAATTGCTTCGTCCACCGCGAGGAAAGTTGGCTCCCTGTGCTGTGCCAGGAAATTTTTCTCCCCGGAATCGATACTTCAAATCTACAAATCAACCATTCGCCCTTGCATGGAGTATTGCTGCCATATATGGTCTGGAGCCCGTTCTGTTTGCCTTGGAGTTCCAGAGACGGATAGGCAATGTAATTGGCCCTCATCTGGCATATTTGTCCTGATGTCCTTCTTGAGGCCCAAGCTGATGTCCTTTCCTGAGTCCCAAGCTGATGTCCTTTCCTGAGTCCCAGGCTGGTTTTTAGATGCAGAAGACGGATGTATACGTATAATCCCCTGCTAAACAAATATATATATAAAATGTATTGAACAGCATGTGCCACTTTGCAAGACTCAATCATTCGCCCTTGCATGGAGTATTGCTGCCATATATGGTCTGGAGCCTCTTCTGTTTGTCTCGGGGTTCTTGATAGGCTCCAGAAGAGGATATGCAATATAATTGGCCCTGTTCTGGCATCTCGTCTACAGTCGCTC